CTATTTTCATCTTCGATATAGTCCTTTAAATTGAACTTTGTATTTATGAAGTTATGAGTGTTATATTCAGTGGCATAGACAGGTCCTCAGAATTGTGGGGGGATGATTTTGCTGTTACTTCCATTACAAAGTATACAAAGAATGTGTGCGCACAGTGGACACCGCGAGCGCCTTGGCACGAAGCCCTTAATGGGTGGGGTCCAGGGGCCCGCCCCAGGGCCCCTGGCGGGGTGCAGGGGCAGGGCCCTTGCCGGGGGTCCATGGGGTAGAGCTCTTGGATGTTAGCAATTAACCTTTAAGATGGCCGTTTTTGAGGGAATTGAATAAAAATTGAAATTGTAAGTGCAATATTTGTGAATTCTAGGGTTATTTTTTTCTTTGGCAACTCCCCTCCCACAACTACAGTGCTCACTGGAATCATCTCCCCCTGAAATTTTGATAAAACATTTTACTGAGAATACTAAAACTGTACAAAAAAAGTATGAGAAAAACAACCAGATTTGAACCAAAAAGTGCATATTTTTACCCTTTATACAAAATCAGGAATGTACTTCCGGTCAAGTCTCAGCACCCCCCTCCCCCCCCCGAAAAAAAGTGGTGAAATTGAATTTTTCCCTTTCAATCCCCGTGGAAATTTTTATCCCCGTTTGCGCAGTGAAGTTGTGTCTGTTGTAGAGGAGCTTTCGAACAGCATTTACAGAAAGTTATTACTAATAATCGGCGAAAGAGGGTAGAAAAACTGTAAGACTCTGGTAGTAAATACATTTTTGTGTTTATTCACCATCACTAGTATTATTGAAATGTTCAAAGTGCCTGTGCTATAGACCCGGCCTGCCCGTGCTATGGCACAACCCTCATGTATTGATTAGGTTACGATTATCGGGCTGGAGTCTAAATACTGTAACAGTAGCTATAGTAGACTATGGTGAGTGTTATAATTAGAATTATCATTTATATACACGTGCACACAAACACATAACTTCATGAACATATAGTGTATGTAAGGATAGTTGCTATGATAGGTTCATGGTAAGGTCATGATTAAAAAAATCTTTGTTTGCCTTCACCCGACCCAGGCTGTAAAGTTTGGGTATGTAGTAGGTAGGCTTACATATTTTTTTAAGGGGGAGTCTTTTTACAAATTCAGCACGGTGTCTACATACTCGGGTGTCCTTGTGTGGAAATACCTTTTATGTTTGTTTGTTTGTTTTGCTTGGTACCTATAATGTATTGCCTACAGCTTTATATAATGTACAGTGATACAATTTGTAAAAAAAAAAAATGGGAAAGGTCAATAAAAATGTTTGAGTCGGCCCCTTTTTGGCGGGTCGGTCGGGTGAGGGCAAACAAACAATATTTTATTATGGCCTAATATACTCACACATTTTTGTTTCTCGTGGTTTTAGCTGTGTAATGTGGGAGCTCTTGCCGGCTGTTGCTCTATCGCAAATATGCAGCCTCTTGGATTCGGCCACACTTGTTCTCGCATCGGAAGTATCGCCAGTGTGGCGCTACTGCATCTCCAGTGAAAGGTACTAATACCATCATTAATCTATACGTTCTAATCTATGGTAACTTCTTATAAAAACGTGCAGAAGTGTGACGTTGGAAATCGGACTAAATGCATGCTTTTGTTTACTAAAATGACCAAATGTCGCACTACATGTTCTTGACAGAGACGAAGACAAATTCTCATGGGCTTCATTGTGGTCATCAGTGCAGCCACATGTTATACCATCATTGGGGGATTCTTGTTGTTGCAGTCCCGTACTGCGACGGCACACCGCATAAAACCCTTTAAAACACATTCTTCGATTACTGCTGCAGGTACTGGCGCAGCTTCTACTACGACTGCAGTGCCGTGAACAACCTCGTGCGCAAGCACCATCGCGGCTACGACTGGGACGTGTACCACCGCCGCCTCGTCGCCTTCATCGCCGACTACGCGCACTGCATCCGCGTCGTCGTCGTGCGCGACGTCGACTCACTCGCAGACGTCGAGACGGTCGCCCAGCTCGCCGAGTGCTGCCACGCGCTCTCCTGCTTCGAGGTGTCGGCGGCGGAGGCGACTCTGCGCGGCGCCCGTCTACGCGAGCTGCAGAGCTCGCTGTGGGAGGTGTGCGCGCGCAACGCGGGCCTGACGCGCGTCAGCGTGCGCAACGTCAACCTGACGCGCGAACCGTGCCTCAACCGCCTGCAGGTGTTCAGCATCTTCGGGCCGGGGCAGGCGCAGCGGCTCGTCGAGCTCGAGGTCGTGACCCCGTCGGACGGCGAGCGCGACGCGCGCTGCCCGCGGCACGTGCCCGCGCTCAGCATGAGCAGCCTGAAGAATCTCGCGCAGCTGCGGCGCGTCACGACGACGCCGCACGACGTCGACATCAGCACGGTGCGCCACCTGGCGGGGCGCTCGCTGCGCCACGTCGTGCTGCTGTGCAGAGAGCAGGAGCTCGAGCGCGTGTCCGAGAGCAGGCAGGTGGCCGCGATGAGGGAGTGCGTCGACGTCTCTTTCCTGCTTGTCATCTAACGAGCAACAACGTGCGAGCGCGTTGTTTAACGAGGAATAATATTTAATTATAATCATGTTTCATGCACCTGGCGACGTGAGATGAGCATCTAGTCGATAACTTGGTGTTTTACCTCTCTAGTCAACATATCTTTGTGAGCAGCTGTGCAGCTTAAATTCACCGCTTTTGGCGCGATGAGTTCCGACTCCGAGATGTGTACTGATGCCGTGGGAATGTTTTCTGAATCGGAGAAGATGCGTTGTGATTCGGAGCGGAAGAGTTCCGATTCCGAAAAGACGATTTCCGATCCCGCGTTGGATGCTGCAGGAGATTCGGAGGAGGAGGCGGCAGTCGACTGGCAGCGGTTGCCGGCGACGGCACTGTGCCTCATCTTCCAACACCTCGACGCCGCGTCCCGCGTCGTCGCGGCGACCGTCAGCCACAGGTGGCGCCACTGCTGCTCGACGGGCAGCGTGTGGCGCACGCTCGTCTACGACTGCAAGTACGTGCGTGGCGCCGCGTGGTCGCGCCCCGCGGTCGGCTGGGATGGCGTTCGCGCGCGGCTGCTGTGCGCTATCGCGCGACACGGCGCGGGCGTGCGTGCCGCCGCCGTCTACTCCATCCGCAACGGCGCCGACGTCGAGGTGCTGCGTCACGTCGCGACGTGCTGCGACGGGCTCGCGAGCCTGAGGGTGACGGCGTGCGACGGGGAGGCGGCGGCGACGCGGCTGTGCGCGGCGGGCGTGCGCGAGGCGTGCGCGCGTAACCCCGGCCTGCGCGCTTTCAGCATCGTCGGCGTCGACCTCGCGCACAGACCTCCCTCCAACCGCATTTACAACGTGCTCACCGGCCGCCAGGTGGCGACGCTGACGCACCTGACGCTGCTGACGCCGGAGGGAGCGCGGCACGTGCCGTGCCTGCGGATGGGCGCGGCGCGGCAGCTGACGGCGCTGCGGAGTCTGCGCACGGGGCTGTGGGAGCTGGACGAGGAAGCTGTGCGGGGCTTCGCGCGCTGCGGGATGCGGGAGATGGTCGTTGAGTGTGACGCGGCGCGGGAGGACAGCGTGTCCGTGCTCGCCGCGCATCCCTGGCTGTGGGACGTCGGCAGGACGGTGCGAGTCACACTGACGGGACGCGTGACGGATGACAGGTGATGGGACGTGTGACGCGTGACGGATTACAGGTGATGGGACGCGTGACGGATGACAGGTGATGTGACGTGTGACGGGTGACGGATGACAGGTGATGGGAAGTGTGACGCGTGACAGATGACAGGTGATGGGACGCGTGACTGGTGATACGGGTGACAAGTGATGGGGCATTTGACGGGTGAGGGGTGAGGAGTGATGTGACGTGTGATGGCTGATGTGACGTGTGACAGGTGACGGATTATGGTCGATGGGACATGTACGGGTGATGATAGGTATTATGTGCCACAGAAAGGATGTTTATCTATGTGTATCGGTGCTGAAACAGGCAGCTGTAATTTCTCCACCATAAATCGCAGGATTTTACTTAATATATACAAGACCAGATATAGTTGAGACAAAAATAGTGAAACTCAACAACCACTAAAACCGGCCGATTGCAAACATAATTATTTCCTTAACAACAAAACCCACATTCACGGTTTCTGTTTCAGATTTGGACCTCTTTACACGCCCAGTTTTAGTGGCTTTAGAGTTACACATTTTTGTCTTGTGTATTTTTGGCAAGACATATTTATTTTTTATTGTGTTTTGCATATACGTAGCTTTTTTCATATGTACGTTATGTGCATATTTGTTACTTGATTGTTGCTTTTGGTATTGAATATGAAGGCTTTTACAAAAAAAAAGCAGTGTTGTTAATGTGTAAATTTTTCTTTAATGGGATGTATGGAAAAGTACTATTTACAAGTAATCTATTGCATGACCCTGGAATGTATGCATATGTTCTATTTGCAAATGATGTATGTCAAATTATGCAAGCTATTGTTGTTATGATTATATGAAATACAAACTTGTTGTATAATATTATTATGGGATTTTTATTTTATTATGCATGTGCTTAGCTGTAACCATAAACTAGTTTATTAACTGCTTCTTTAGAAATTCTTACGTGTTCCCTCCACATTTTAACGAGTAACATTTTATGGGAACGCACAATACAACAGTCACAGTACAAATGAATCCAAATGTTAAAACGTGAAATCTAGCCATCTCTCTCTTTCTCTCTCACTCTCTTTCCCCCCTCCCATCCTCTTTCCCTCTCCCATCCTTCCTTTCCTCAAGCGCACGCTCCAGGGTATTAGCCAGGAATGAGTATTGTGGGAGTGCAGAAAAAATATTTGGGAGTGCAATTTTGCGTGTCTCAGCCAAGACCGCCGTAGGCGGTCTTCATGAACGCCACAGGCGTTCACGGGGAGTGGGGAGTATGAGAGGGGCCCCGGGGCCTCCTCCCGAAAATTTTGAAATTTTGAAATTTTTTTGGCCGTGCAGTTTCAAAACTGACCGTGCAAATCACGGCTGCACGGCTCGCTGGCTAATATGTTGGCGCGCTCTCTTTCTCTCTCTATCTCTTTCTCTTGGTCTCTTTGTCTATACCTCACACGTGCCCGTGGCACACTCATGCGCATCTGAGCTGAAGTAAAATTCCATAAGACCTATTATTCCAATTATCTAATTACATATTTATTACATGTATGACAATATTACCATGAGTACATTCATATTGATTCTCGACTGGCCGCTGTACAAGCGCGTGTGTGATCATCTGTATTTATTATGCAATCGAGCATTTTCTATGCGAATTTATACAGTGAGTTGCCAAGTATTTTACACAAGTAAGCAAGCAAGTAGTGAGTAGATTTGCTGAGGGCATGCCGTTGCATGTGTACCCACACGAGCCGCCAAATGGTCAAACGGGTGAACCACAGGGAAGAAAATTTTCAAGTAATTTTGATTATTCTCCTAACCATGTGCTCAGGGGCGTGTACAGGATTTGTACCAGGGGGGGGGGGAGTCTAACCGTAACCCAAACTTGCGAGCACGCGAAGGGGATGTCTGGGGGCCCTATACCCACAGAAATTTTTTGTAATTATGCCCCCTCAGATGCGTTTTCTGCGCGAGCAAGGGGGGGCGTCCGGACCCCCCCCCCCTGTACACGCCCCTGGTGCTTATATGTGCACGTGCATCGATAGTCTATGCCACATAATATTGCGTCGCTGAGAAAGTCCGCTACAACTGGTTGTTTCCTAACTCTTCATGTATAAAGGTAACTTATATAGGCATGTATTATCGCATCATTATAAGACTCTAGGTCTCTTACGGGGGTATTCACTAATTGACGGGTTCACACGTAATCTAGGATCACGTCCACGACTGTCCATGCGCACCAGAATGATATTGTGTGAAAATTCCATAGTCATTAAATGACAAGTGACATCATCACGCACTTATTTACATGAATGCGTGCGTAGAGCGGAAGAGATGGTAGGGTCACAGCGTCTCACCCCATTACTTTCATTTCAGTTGCTCCGTAGCCTGTGTTTCTGAAAAATAATATGAAAAATATCATAATATTATGTACACCTGTTACCCGCACTTATATATATATATATATATACATACTTACGTATGACATACACAAAACGCTTAGGTGGCAGATTCCAATCCCCTCGGGGGAAAATGTGTATATTTATTTTTCCTTTATTATTGCATTTTCTAATGTTCATACTGTGATTTTGAAATTTATAAATAACAGAATAAAATTAGGAACGTTAGAAAATATGATTAAAAATAGAAAAAAGTAAAATGCAAAACAATTTTCCTTCGGTGGGATTGGAATCTGTCACTTCCCTGTCTAATTCGCCACGACTCGCTTTGTCGCGCTCTTATGCTCACCCCTGCCCCTCGTTATCCCTACTGATGTTTTCGTATAGCGGCATGTCCTCGGTGTCCGGTACAGTTGAGTTCGCATGCTGCGGTGCTAGAGTCGAGCCAGCATCTTGTCTCGCTCTCGGCGACACTTTCGGCTTCTTAATTAGCGATTTCTGGAACCTTGTTCCTGCGCGACGTCTCATGATAGGTGCAGACTATACGCAGTGAGAAACGCGACTTGTGTTAGCAGTAGGAACACAAGTTACTGTTCACACGGTGTTTACGCACATGACAAATACAAAACATACACGTTGTGTATTGGCTTTACAGTGAAGAGGCCACGGGTATCGTTAACTGTACAAACACACACAAAACACGAAGAATATTGATTTTAAAGTGAAGAGCACACGAGTATTGTTGACAGTACAGACAAAACAACACGGTGATTATTGATTTTAAAGTGATGAACGCACTTATGGGTATTATTGACTGTATACCGTGAGAAATACGCGAGTAATGAATATGCCGTACGAAATGTAAGGGGTTGGTTTAGTGTAAACAATGTTATATACACGGAATTTTTTTGATGATACGATGTTAGAAATATATGGTGAATTAATTGCGTTTAAACAAACGTATGAGGAATGACATTACCGAGACTACTTGGGGTTCGTTTCCTTCCACGTCGGCTCCCTCCTCGTGTATCGTTAGTTGGTCTCGGCTACCTGAGGCCACAGGCTCAGTTAATCCGTTTGGCTCTTTGTTCTGATCCACCTCTTCAGTGTCTATAAGTACGATTCCGTTCTGAGTTTATTAGAACGTTAATGCATGCAATGATGAAAGTTCACGCAAGTAAATTCCTATATTATAAACGCGCGATATTGATGCGGGCTAATTAAATTCCATTCATTAGCTTGAAGGTATAGATAGAGGTTACGTTTGTACAAAATATTATTCACTTAAAAGAAATTATACATTTAAAGTAGAGAGCACATTCTCTAGAGCAGTTCGATATGAAATATGTCTTTGACGATAGCTGACGTTAATAAGTATGAGGTTTCGTGCAGTTTTCGGACATTCCTTATTAGACTCAAACGATGTTTCAAAGCTTTACGTTAGACGTCACGTAACTGCTCGTTATTTCCGCGTCCATGTCAACATCCCCACGGATGCATCTACTACTGGATGCGTTACTTATTCACGGACAAATACTTCTAGTAGAGAGAACACTCATCTAAACAAAGACATCCGTGTTTGTTATAGCGCCTCTTACAGGCATCATCGCGCTATCACCATGTTTCCTCTCTAGCTGCGGAGGCGCCCGTACCTGCGTAGTATTCCTCGTAATCCTGGAGGATGTCCACTCCGAAGAAAGCGTGTATCGCTTCGGGAAATCGAAGATCCATGAAATAGATGACGGCGGCGACGAGTACGCTGACGATACCTGCGAGAGCCGATAATTAGTGTGTGCGGGGAGAATTAAACTGGTCTTTTGCCTTCTGTGGGAATTCGAAAGTTTTCGTTAACACATACAAGAACCATTCTATTATGTGTTGTTTATATGCTATTATTAACTACTTTATATTTAACATAATATGCTGCCTATGCAAACAATAACAATCATATCGATAGTGTTTATTATGTATGTACTTGTACGTGCGTATGTGCACATGCACGCGCGTGTGTATATGAGGGGAATGTTTGTTTGTTTGAATGTGGGCGTTGGTGTGTGCATGGGTGCGCGCGCACGCGTGTGCGCGGATGTACGTGCGTGCGTTACGTGCGTGCGTACGTACGTACGTGCGCGCATACACACCTGCGATGAGAGCTAACCAGAAGCTCCATCCCCAATGGAATGTGATGGCCGCGTCTCCTCCGAACGGGATCACGAGCTCGTTATAGTTACGTATGGCGGCGTAGAGAATGTTTGCCAGCACCATGCAGCCACCAGTCATCCCCAGCAGCAGCGCCCCGTAGCGAATCACCATGAAGAACAGGATGTTGCTGAGTATCCAGAAGGGAAACGCCAACCTAGATGTAGAAATTTGAATGCAAATTGTTATTCGGGTTGGGCGAATAGCCGGGGCAGGGATCGAGAGGTTTTAGAAATCTAGATAGCTGGGTGGTTGTGTGGTTGTGTGGATATATAGATGGATGGATGGATGGGTGGGTGTGTGGATGGATGGATGGATGTGTGGGTGGATGGATGGATGGATGGATGGATGGTTGGATGGACGAACGGACGGACGGACGGACGGATGGATGGATGGTTGGTTGGATGGATAGATGGACGGACGGACGGATGGTTGGTTAGATGGATGGATGGATGGATGGATGGATGGATGGAAGGATAGATGGATGGACGGATGGATGGATGGAGGGATGAATGAATGGATGGACGGATAGGTGGAAGCACATACTGGCAGATAGATTTCTTGATTGAGTGGTTTATTAATTGATTAATCAATTAATTGGTTGAATGATTGACTGGTTTACTGATTGCATGGTCGATTAATTGATCGATGGATGGAAGGATCGATCGATTGATAAGTTTGAATGCATTCGTGCGTACCACATCAACACATGAGCGTAGAAGCCAGCTTGACGATAATGGCGGCCCCAGCGTATGCCTTCCCCATCCAACGTGAAGTACTCAGCAATCCATAGAATAGGTAGAGGCAGGCCCGTGAACTGTGCTACTCGGAACTCACGATTGAACTGGCTAGCTGCAATAAAATGTTTATAGATATGATATGCTGCGCAGCGCCTCCACAACACGCACGCGCACACGGCGCACACGCACGTACGCACGCACACGCACACACACAAGCACACGTACATATATATTATTGGTGTGTCTGTGTCTTTAATCATTATTGCAATACAAGAAGAATTACACTTTTGCGCGTATTTACTTCAACAGTATAATTACTATTATCTCATATTTAAATTGACTTGGGCAAAACAAGGTGTCGCTGTGTTAATGGTTTGTCATGTATGTCATCTATGTGTTTGTGGGTTAACATCATTACTACAGACATAACACTACAGCGGCGCTTATAGATAATGATATGATAGATAATAATAATATATAATAATAGATAATAATAGATAATGATATGATATGATAGATAATGATATTAAAATATCATATACCAGAAGGGCCAAATCCCAGCCGCCCTTGCTGCCATCCAAATGTGAATCTCTCGTTGTAGTTGATCGTTTCGTTCAATTCGTTATCATTCGGAGCTACACAGATAAACAACAGACATAAACAGGATTGCACTTGTTAATATATAGTACATAATACCCAGTGTACAACCGAATGTATAGCACAACACACAGCATAGAACATATTATCATAACACATAATGAATATGATAATTGTCTTGAGGTCCCCCAGCAATATACGCGCCTTCTTGAATCAATTAATCTTTTACAGCTCACCTGTCGAAAAATCGACAAATCGAATCGTCTTCTATAAATCGTGATATTTTCTGACCTTTCATTGTTATGTTGACACTGCGAAGGCCTATCTTAACTCCTAACTCGGCGTCCACCTCAGTGGGCGTGAAGGCTTTGTAGGGAACGTGAAGATGCAGGTCTCCTACTTCCCACTCTTGCCCATAGTTTGTAACTTCACACAAAACGATAGAGCAGACGTTAATCGAGAAAGCTGCGATCTTCAGCGAATAATAAAGTCGAAAATGATTACAAACATAATGAATTATAATATGTAAGGTTTCTAATCACCTTCAGTGCAGTGTCGTTATCAATATCAATCCATATTCTGGGAGCCTTTGTGAGCATTATGGATTTCAAAATTTGGTTCGCTAAAGTCGATTGTCAGTAATTCGAAACTCGATCAGTTCGGTAACCGTAGGCTTGGTTCCTATGCTTCTTAAAGCTTTCGCGCGCTTCGTAAAGATTGACATGGATCAATTACGAATTTTGCTCAGTTACAATCCGGATAAGCTAGTCCGGATGACCGTAACTTCGGATGCTTTTCAACCCGAGTCTCTGTATGACGAATGTGACCAAGAGCGTATAAAGAAGGACTCATTTGTATATATCTGGTGTACACAAATAGAGATTCTGCGTAATGATCTCTATTTATGTATTCCGTAAATATGACATTTGCCGAGTCATATCTGTTAGATGAGAAACGTGCGAATACTGTCTGCTTCGTATATAGTAGAAATACACTTACTCATGATGATGGCACCCAGCACGATGCTAAAAGTGCCTCTAATTAGTAAAGTCCATCGCTGAAATACGAATTGAAATCACAAATAAGAACTTTTTTCCATTTTAACGTGGAATTATAATATGTGGTGAAATTAAAGCGATATATAACTAACTCTTGTACTTAGTTATTGCAAGAAAAAAGGGGGAAATGCAACGGAGAACGCATCTTGATCTTGAATTAGATCGAGCACTACCTCTCTCTCTCTCTCTCTCTCTCTCTGTTTCACTCTCTCTCTCTCTCTCTCTTTCTCTCTTTCTCTCTCTCTCTCTCTCTCTCTCTCTCTCTCTCTGTTTCACTCTCTCTCTCTCTCTCTCTTTCTCTCTTTCTCTC